ACTTCTCTAGGAGCCTTGGGAGAATTTTTAAAATTCCATTTATGTGAGATAATTCAACCTGTGTCCTAGGTTTGGAGTTCGTTTCCCTGCCATGTCTGATGCCTACGACCGGACTATGAGGCAGAGGGCTCTCAGTATGTGGAAACAAATGGGGGAGCAACGTGAGCTACAGGAAGGCACCTATGTGATGCTGGCAGGCCCCAGCTTTGAGACTGTGGCAGAATCTCGTCTGCTGCAGAAGCTGGGAGCAGATGCTGTTGGTGAGAAGGGGAATTTGGCTGGAGGCTTGAAGAGGGAGGGATTTAGCAAAATGGGACTGGGAAGGAGTAGGATATAACAGGCCTCATTGGATTGAGAGGATCTGATTTCAGGGAAGGGTGAATTAAACTGACTTCTTGAAATACAAAGTGGTGAGATTTGGTGTAGCATCAAATCTCCTTACGAAGCACCAAGGGGTTAACAGCTGCAGTGCTAATGAATGACCTATCCATGATTTGATGGCTGTTTCTTTTTTCTTTTTTTTTTTTTTTTGAGATGGTGTCACGCTCTGTCACCCAGGCTGGAGTGCAGTGGCATGATCTTGGCTCACTGCAACCTCCACCTCCCAGGTTCAAACAATTCTCATGCCTCAGCCTCCCAAGTAGCTGGGATTACAGACGTGTGCCACCAAACGCAGTTAATTTTTGTATTTTTAGTAGAGACAAGGTTTCACCATGTTGGCCAGGCTGGTCCTTGAACTTGTGATCTCAGGTGATCCGCCCATCTCGGCCTCCTAACATGCTGGTATTACAGGCGTGACCCACTGCACCTGGCCAATTTGATGACTGTTTCTAAGAATTCTAAAAAATTCACTATAGCCACCTTCTGTACCTCTAGCTGAAGATGGAACTCTATCATTAGGATTGACTTCAAAATTGCCACAAATACAGAAATGAAGCATTGCACTGGTGATTTTAAGAAATGTGTATTTATTTTAGGCAATACAGAAGAACATACCTCAACAATAATTTAGCTGCTTCTTTGGATTTGTTTTAGGTGGGACCTTGCTCTGTTGCCAAGATTGGAGTGCAGTGTCACCGTCTCTAGCTCACTGCAGTTCTAGCTGCCTGGGCTCAAACAATCCTCCCACCTCAGCCTCCTGAGTAGCTAGGATCACAGGCATACACTACCACATCTGGCTAATTTTATTATTTTTTGAACTGAGGTCTCACTATGTTGCCCAGGCTGGTTTCAAACTCGTGGGCTCAAGACATCCTTCTGCTTTGGCCTCCCAAAGTGCTGGGATTACAGGTGTGAACTGCTGCACCTGGCCATTACAGGCATGAACCACTATTGCACCTGGCCATCTTTGGATGTTTTTTGAGATTTTTAATTCTTGTTGAAAGTGAGGCTAAAGGGCCAGGAAAAGAGTTATTTGAGGATCCTGACAGTTGGTTTCCATCTTTCTCACCATCAGGCATGAGTACAGTACCAGAAGTTATCGTTGCACGGCACTGTGGACTTCGAGTCTTCGGCTTCTCACTCATCACCAACAAGGTCATCATGGATTATGAAAGCCTGGAGAAGGCCAACCATGAAGAAGTATTAGCGGCTGGCAAACAAGCTGCACAGAAATTGGAACAGTTGGTCTCCATTCTTATGGCCAGCATTCCACTCCCTGACAAAGCCAGTTGACCTGCCCTGGAGTGGTCTGGCGTCTCTCACACAAGATCCAAGTAGCTGCTACCTTCTTTGACCCCTTGCTGGAGTCACGTGCCTCTGTCCTTAGGTTGTAGCAGAAAGGAAAAGATTTCTATTCTTCACCTTTCCCACTTTCTTCCACTAGACCCTTCTAGTGCCAGATCCTCTTCTCACAGCTGGGGTTACAGGTGTGAGCATAGTGAGACGTTGGCGCTACAAAATAAAGCTGTTCTCATTTCTGTTCTTTCTTATACAAGAGCTGGAGCCCATGCCCTACCACGCATCTGTGGAGGTGCCCAGGATTTGACTCGGGCCTTAGAACTTTGCACAGCAGCTGCTACTAGCTTTTTGAGATAATACATTCCTGGGGGCTCTGTTCTGCCTTATCTAAATCACCAGAGACCAAACAAGGACTAACCCAATACCTCTTGGACTTTATTTAATGTCATAATGTTGTCAGAATAAAGAGAAAGATGAAATAGTTTCATTTTTTGTGTAGCTTGGGATGGGGCTGAGGCACAGGACAAGATTGACATGAAAGGATGTGAGACCACATGTCTTGTGTGACTATCTGCTTCTCAGACAAGTAATTAGGAACTGAGATGAGATAGCATGTGAGTGTAGCAAAGGATGAAGAAGGGCAAAATGATGAAAGGTGGGAAAGAGGTTACGAGATGGTAAGGAAAAGTTAACTTCTGGCACTTGATGGCCACTTCCGTCAGGCTAGTCCTTCCTCTCTCCCTTGCCTTCTGATTGTTTCATTTCCTGTCTATTTGATCATAGCTGAATCAGTTCACTGATTAGCCTCTTCCTTAGTTCCCACTTCCTTACCAAAGCCCTAATTATATTTCCTCTTGTTTGCCTTTTCTCTCCTACTCTTCTCTAACGTCAGTAACCACACTCTCCATTCACTCCATTCTGACAAGGCAGTGGTAAACGCCTCTCTCTGCTGTCAGCCACTCTGTTGTTCATTGGATTGCTGCCAGCCCCAGGCAAACCTGTGAAGTTGGTTCACACTCTGCTTCTCTTTGAGTGTCTGCTTCTGTCCTTCCACTTCCTTTCTGGGCTCCAGTCTTTCTCTTTACTTGGTCAGAACCTCCCTGTGATACTGTATCCAGGCATTTCCCCCTTGTTGGCTCACTGCACTATTATCTTTGCTTATCAACTTGCATTCAGCTGGCTGGCATGTTTCAAAACCACACTGCCGTCCCAGGCCTGTGTGCCTTTTGAGAAAGACCAGTCTGGAGGAGCCTCTAGTAGTGACAACATTTTACTTGTTAGTGGTATAATACGGAAGAGATATTTTGCACAGGCTGCTTTGGAGAACTTTCAAATTATCCTTTGTTTGGTTAACTGACCTACTTAACTGCCCAACACAAAGAAAAAGCATCTTGGAGTGGCTCTGTCTCTTGTTTTGACACATGGTCTCACTCTGTCACCTAGGCTGCAGTGTGGTGGTGTGATCTCAGTTCACTGCAACCTCCGTCACTCAGGCTTAAGTGATTCTCTCACCTCAGCCTCCTGAGTAGCTGGGACCACAGGTGCAAGCCACCACATCTGGCTAATTTTTGTACTTTTTGGTAGAAATGGGGTTTCGTCATGTTGCTGAGGTTGGTCTCAAACTCCTGGCTTCAAGCAATCCTCCTGCTTCGGCCTACCAAGGTGCTAGGATTACAGGAGTGAGCCATCCTCCTGGCCTTTCTCTACAATCTTAAGATTCATTTACAAGGCCACCGTTGTATAACGCTTGTACAAAATGAGTACAAAGTCACACGTGGGAGCTCAAAGGAGGGACTGATTGTATACACCCAACAGTGAGAATTGGGTAGATTAGGGAAAGTTTTTTTTTTTCTTTTTTTCTTTTGCTTAAAGTGGTGGATACTTAGGTAAAGTTTTATAGAAAACTTTGAGCCTAGTCTTGAAGGATGAAGCAGGGGAAGAGGATTTCACATCAGGATGAGCCAAAGCAGAGCCGCAAAAAGTACTAGGCATGTTCATGAGTCATTGTCACAACTGGTGTGACTAGATCAGGACATGAAAGGCTCTAGTGAGACAGGCAGAAAGGTAATTGGTTTGTAATTTATAATAAAAGGTTAGTAGAATATAGTACTTGTCTTGTGTAGCCTGACCTGATCTAGTTCTATCAACTATTCTTTTATCTGTCAGAGATTGTTTAAGGTCAATTCTGGTTCACAGTGTTAATCTTTATTATTGTCTGCCTGTGTCGTCTCCCCCAAAATAATAATACATAGCTACCACCATTGTTACTGTTCCACTAATGTCATCAAAGTGTGAAAATTATTTAATTGTGATCAAAGGAATAAACTTGACATTTGGCACAGTAGTTGTTTTTCATACAGTTGTTTTGCAGTGGGAAAGCTCTCACTCTGGACATCATAGATAAGATGTTATGGAGTCAGTAAAGTCCCTGAAAAGCAAAATTGAGTTATGCCTGAAATTTTTTAGGCAGGCAGGTCATTAGATTTCCTTCGATGCTTACTTTGCCAAATTCCCCTCCCCCTCACAAATAGAAACGGCTAGTATTTAAAAAGACAGAATTATGGTAAGAGTAATTTTGGATATTTTCTGTCAATCTGCCATTCTTTATGGTTGTCCAGCTTCTTAACTATTTGTTATCTACAGACTCTTCACTTCAGTATACACCCTATGGCTGTTAGCTGGTCTCTCAAAGATCGAAGGCTCGTTAGCTGGTCTCTCAAAGATATAGGAAACTGATCCCTGCTTCAGTTCCACAATACTGAGTTCAAGAATGTTCTCAGACCAGGATATGCTGAGAGAGATGCCTTAGAGAACCAAACTGTTCTCTAAGACCCAGCGATAGTACTGTCATTATATAACCCTTAGACACATGAGATACCTCTGCCCAAGGAGGGGTTCTAGGCAGATTCACCCTTGTTTACGAGCACAGATAGACTGTATCGAGAGAGACTAAATTTCTGTGGAGTCTTCTCACTCATTTAGGAGTTTTCTGTAACAATGCACACTTTTGGTGAAGATGTTGGAGTCAAGATGTACTTCTGCCTGAATTGGAAAATGTGTTCACTTTTCTGACTGAGCTGACTTTATGCCATGCCCTTTGGATAAATAACCTTGTTTGATTTATTCAAGTGACATTGTGTCAGGTCTTGCTATCAATCTGTACCTAGTATTGACATTTATAAATGTAATGGCCATTCAGTTTCTAGATAACCATAACATTTACTTGACAACTCTGTATTGCACTTACACTCATTCATTTTTTTTCTGCATTTGCTTTGAACTTTATCCTTTTGATAATCAGATGCATTAAGCCTCATATAGAAATGTCAGGATGTGTGTGTATGTCTATGTGTGTGTGCATATACATACACAAACATATGTATACATATATGCATATACGCAAAAACCAAAACTGACAATTTATAAACTGTCATCTGCATGAAACCTGGAAGAAGCTGAGCTTTTCAGCTTCTCAATGTTCCAGACAGGGCACCTATGAAGTGTATCTTTCTAGGCTGCTGAACAAGAAGAGATGAACACATGAGGAGGATATGTTTACTTGCTTACTCAACAAACGTTCTAGGGGTTAGGGATATGGAAAAGAACAAGACAATATTTCTGCCTTCATGGTATTTACATTAAATTAGGGGAGTCAGACAACCAATAAATATAAATGTTTTTAAAAACCTAAGTTAATAATAAGTGTTAAGGAAAAAAATAAAGAGGATGGAAGGTAATAGAGGAAGGAAAGGCAAATTAAAACTACAATGAGATTCCACTTCACACTCACTAAAATGACTATAATAAATAAGACACACATTAACAAATGTTGGTGAGGATGCAGAAAAACAAGAATCTTTTTAAATTGTGGAATTTCCATTTTCTGGTAGAAATGTAAAATGGTGTAGCCAGTTGGAAAACAATTTGTCAGTTTCTCAGAAGGCAAAGCACAAAACTACCATATGACCCAGCAATTCTACTTGTAGCTGTCTGCCTAAGAGAAATAAGAATATAACCACACAAACATACACAAATGTCCACAGCAACTTTTAAAATAATAAAGACTGGAAACATCCTAAATGCCCATCAACTGGTAAATGGATTTAAAAAAAAAATGTATATCTAGGCCGGGTGTGGTGGCTTGTGCCTATAATCCCAGCACTTTGGGAGGCTGGGGCAGGTGGATCACTTGAGGCCAGGAGTGTAAGACCAGCCTGGTCAACACAGCAAAACCCTGTCTCTACTAAAAATACAAAAATCAGCCAGGCATGGTGGCATGCACCTGTAATCCCAGCTACTCAGGGGCTGAGGCATGAGAATCACTTGAACCAGGGAGATGAAGGCTGCAGTGAGCTGAGATCATGCCACTGCACTCCAGCCTGGGTGACAGAGTGAGACTCCTGTCTCAAAAAAAAGAAAAAGAAAAAGAAAATGTACATCAATACAATGGTACACTATTTGTTAATAAAAAAGAACAAACTACTGACACATGCTATGTCATGGATGAACGTCAAGAACATGCTAAATAAAATATCCAGATACAAATCTGCATTACATGATTCTACTTATATGAAACATCCAGAAAAATTTATAGAGACAGAAAGTAGATTAATGGTGTTTTGGAGCTTAGGGTTGAGATGGGGATTAATATAAATGGGCATAGAGATCTCATTTAAGGGATAAAAATGTCCCAAAACTGATCTACGTGATTGTTGCAACACTGAATAAAATTCCTAACAATCATTGAATTTTGTACTTGAAACAAGTAAGTTTTATGATACATGAAATACAGCTCACTAAGGCTGCTTTTTAAAAAAAAAGTGATAAAAGTGTGAGTGATTTCAAATAGGTTGGTTCAGGGAAGGCCTCTCCAAGGAGCTGGCAGTTGAGCAGAGACCTGAGTAAATGAGGGTGTGAATGATGTAGTGATTAGAGAAGAGTGTGCAAGCAGAAGGTAAAGCAAACATACAAGTTTTCAGAGAACTTAACAATTTAGCAGTAACAGATGGTCAACTATTAGAGTAGACTGAACAAGGGAAATGGTGGTAGTAGACAAGATTGGAGATGTAAGCAAGTTTAGGTTTTATTTTGAGCATGAAAGAAGGTCATTGAAATGATTTTTAACCAATTTACTTTTTTAAAAAAGAAAACCTCACTGGCTGCTTTGCAGAAAATCAATAATATTAAGCAAAAACTGGGTGATTGGTTAGGAGACCTTGGAGGTAGATTAGGGTAAAAGCTGGTTTAGGCTTGAACCAGTGATGGCAATGATGTCAGGCCTCTGAGCCCAAGCCAAGCTGTCGCATCCCCTGTGACTTGCACTTATATGCCCAGATGGCCTGAAGTAACTGAAGAATCACAAAAGAAGTGCAAATGCCCTGCCTCGCCTTAACCGATGACATTCCACCACAAAAGAAGTGAAAATGGCCAGTCTTTGCCTTAAGTGATGACATTATCTTGTGAAATTCCTTTTCCTGGCTCATCCTG